GTACTTGAGACGGTTCTTCTCGCCCTGAGCATCTCATTACATCATTGCCCTTGTGCTGATCTGCATATGACAATAAACCTAAACCTAACCTAAGCCTAAACCTAGCAGGTGAGCTGATTGGGTCACATGTTTCAGGTGTGGATGTTTACCTGGAGAAATGAGCGAAAGCGAACAGGTGTTCAAAAGATGAAACCTGAGCACACCTTCCCAAATGTCTTCAAAAGCTAGAAGAAGACTAAATGACTGATCATGAGTTTTACCATAGATCATACACCTGCCAAGTTCCCCCGCAGACCTGACATCAGCAACATCACCTGTGGGGCGGCTGTGGCTGAGTGGTTAGAGCAGTCGTCCTCCAATGCGAGAGTTGGGGGTTCTAATCCACCAGCAGTCACATGCTGAAGTGTCCCTGGGCAAGACACTGAACCCCTCATAGCCATTTATTTACCTACAACATCTCTAAGGTGTCAAGGAGCCGAACAAGTCAAGGACGGACAGGGTGGGAGACGGTCCTGTTGTGATCGCTACAACAACTGACATATGAGTCTGGAGGTCCCAAAGCATGATCTGAACTGAAGAGGCCTTGTGGACTGGAGGTGAAACATCTTCAAGAAGCGACAAGTCCAGTTGCTTCTATGGAACCACTCAGGTCTGCTGTGTCCTGGATGACTCATTATTATGAACCTTTATATGACCAGGCACGTCCCATTGAGATCCCAGATCCATTGAGATCCCAGACCCATTGAGATCACAGATCTCTTCTGTAAGGGAGCAGCCTAACATGCATATTTTGGACTGTGGGAGGAAACCAGAGTACCTGGAGAAAACCCACCCAAACATGAAGAGAACCTGCAAACTCCACACAGAAAGACCAGGTGCAAACCAGGGATTGATCTGAGGACCTTGTTGCTGTGAGGCAACAGTGCTAACCACTGAGCCACCATGCTACCAAAGTTAGGGTTTCCTAAGTTACGTTTACCTCAGCCCCATAACGTAGGGCCGTGGGGTTGAGGTAAGTGTTGATGGGTGTGACAGGTGAGATGTTTTCATACCCTGAAGGGGCTGTCGGGGACGTTGACTTCACCCCAGGTGATGATGAGGGTGTGTTTGATGGGTTTCGTAGGGATGTAAACACAGAAGTAGCTGCAGTCTCCATTATCTGTGATCTGGATGTCGATGGGGAAACCATCTGCATCCTGAACGAACATCTCATTAATCTTCAGGACTGTTTGTTTATTAGGCAGCTAGAAGACAACAGAACTTTGGAGTTCAGACCTGAGCGTAAATGTTCAGCTCTCCTCTGCCAGCTCCACTGGTATCAATGGTGAAGTCAGCGGGTTTGTTGACGATGCAGCCCAGAGGCTCCAGACCAGGTCCGTAACATTTCACCTGAGGAGCAGAGAACACAGCATGTTGTGGTTTACTGGTAAACCTCTGAGAATCAAAGAAAACCAGCGAGGCTCCGACCTTCTCAGGAAACCTGTCGTTGGCAACAGGGAGGACGTGAGCCATGAAGGGGCTGTCCTTGATGTCCTCATCATCACATATGACGTGGATGGCATAGTCGCCCGGTTCAGTCGGCCAGTACCGGACATCACATGACCCGTCGCCTTTGTCATCACACTCGATCTTAGCCTGGGAGGGGCCCTCAATGGAGAAGCCTGCACAAAAACCGAGTCCAGGTTTAGAGTGTGACTGAAGAAGGTCCCTGAAGACAAAGTCTGATCGTATGTGGAGCTCACGTTTTCTGTAAATATTCAGTTTTCATGTTTACAACAAGCAACTTCTTATTGGAAGGTGTTGTTGAAGATCTACGTGATCCCAGTATGTTGATGACACTCTGCTGGTTATTTTCATTAAACTGGTGAAAATAATCAGATTCCATCAACAGAAACTGGAGATCTAGTTTTAAATGATCAGGTTTGTGTAGATTCATCCAGGATTCTGTGTATGTGTTGGTTAAAGATGCAGTTTTCATCTTTTAAACCGCACAAAGCCCCCAGTGGGTCAGAACGTGATCCAAACTGATCTGCAGTCTGGTGCAGGTCAGAAGTTCAAATGGGTCAAACCCTGAGCAGAACCTTTGTGTTGTTGAAACATACCAAGAGTTCCCACTTCTGTGCCAATGGCTTCCACCACAAAGTCGGCGCTCTTCCCCACCATACCGGTCTCTAGACCTGGACCCCAGGCCCTGACCTTCTGAGGCCCGGCCTCCTCGATTACATGGACTTCAAATGGGCTGAAACACAACAACAGTTTATTTGTTTCAGTCACTGAACCCAAAAAATCTTCACAAATGTGCAAACTTTCATCTCTGGAGAACCGCAGGGCTCCATGCTTAGACCTCTACAGCTCTGGTTTTGACTTGGTCAAAGAGTATGTTTTCAACAACGTATGCGGCCTTAAACACAGTAAATATAAAAAACACCTCCACCAAACTGGAGGAGTCACCTGCGTGGGATGCCATGTCCTCCCCAGGTAATGGATATGATGTACTTTCCTGTTGTGACGGGGTAATAATTACACTCAAACACTCCATTTTCCATCTCCAGCACCTTCACTGGCTCCTCCACGCCCTCTGAAGATCAAACCAAGTATCAGCTGGGATTCTCCTGATGCATGCTCAATAATCCAGGTAGAAAAATCCAAAAAAGTTCAATCTGGTCGAATGTCCAGAGGACCAGATTGAACTTTTTTGGATCAGCTGGGATTGTTTCAAATAAAGCTACATTTCAGGTAAGAGTCAATTAATTTGATCAAACGACTTAAATTTAGCAATGTGCACTTTATGAACAAACTTTTTCTGTGGGAAATTCTGTGAATTAATCAATGAGAACAAAACTTACAACCTGTTGGGTGACACTAAAGTTTGGACCCGAATTTAAAGTTAACTAAATAAAATGATTTACAGAAAGTTCTGTCCATTTCAATCAGCTGTTGATTATTAAAAATCTAAATAAAACTGCAAAAACCTGGAAAACAAACATAAAAATTTCAATCTAATAAATGACATGACTTATTTGGTTCAGTCCACTTAATGTGGATTAAATAAGTCCAGTTAACCCGAGTTCATCAGTTTTTATAACTCGGGTTTATCACTTAAATGCTTAACACGTGGAAAACAAACCAAATCTTTCATATCAAAGGTTTGATTTCTGATTTGAGGAGATCAATTAAAACTGATCAAATATTATGTCAGCCAATAAAACAGCTCCATGTGAGATCATCAGCAGAACATTTGTTTCCACATTAGAAGAAAACAAGAATTTTATGAAAGAATAAAATTCATTGATTATCTCTGTAAATCTGACACCAGATTGTTGGAGTTGGGTTTTATAAACTTTTGTAAGCCTTATAATAAGTTCTTAAATCTTAAAGATGGTTTATTCCCTTTAACGTTGGCTTCTGGAGGCTGGTTCTGATCTGATGGTTTCATATCCGACTCGGGTCTGAGGGTCTTACTCGGTCCCTTCACGCTGACTCTCAGCTCCCCGCTGCCGCCTCCTTTGGTGTAAACTTTGAAGTCTGCCACCTCCTTCACCCTCAGGCCCTTCTGCTGCAGACCTCGGCCCAGGGCCCGGCAGGCGTTTGGGTTACAGGCTGTCAGAACCAGACAGAAGATGGGAGTTAGAGCAGCAGACAGAGGTAAACTGATCACAAATAAATCTATAATAAACACGTTGTTTGTTTCAACAGAACAGGAGCAAGAACTTAGACAAAGAAACTAATAGAAGAAGAAAAACATTCTGACATAAACATTTAAATCTGCTTTGACTAAAGGAGTTGTCCGACCCACTCAGAGCTGCTCTCACTCAGCTGATCATCTGCTGTCAGTCACCTGATCGTCTGCTGTCACTCAGCTGATCGTCTGCTGTCACTCAGCTGATCATCTGCTGTCACTCAGCTGATCATCT